CTGGGGTGGATTTGGCCCCCCGCGTTCCCCATGTGACAGGATGAGTTATCAGCTGTTGGGGTTTCCATAGCAATCATTTGAATTTTTAGCACCAATGCTGGCTTTTGCCAGACTGGAAGGGAGCACTGGGGAGCCTGATTAACATACTGGCCTGCCTAGAAAAATAGCTAATTGCCTTTCTGTTTAATTAGCTTGTGGGCTTGATGACAAGGTGGGGAAAGTGCTGGAAAACCTCTCCCAGTGCAGCATTTCACCCCGACGACTAGGGTTACCTCCTGGTAACTCAGCCTGGAGCTGGAGAGGACACAGCCATGCGCTCACTTCTTAGAAATGGAGCAACCAGACCCCAGGGGGATGGTATCGGGCTTGGGGGAAATAATTTTCACCTACAAAGAAGGTATTTTTAGTAAGTGACGGGTTATTGGAGAGAATGTCTCCTCCCGAAGCGCCCACGGGGGGCACAAGTGCTGAGCTGTGCGGGAGGGCCAGGGCATCTCCGGGTCGCCATCCTCACAGAGCAGGTTGGGCTGGGCCAGGCCATGCCCGGAGCAGGAGCCGGGCCGAGGGGAAGGCATGGCGCGAGGCTCTCGAGGCCCCTGAAGCAGATGCGCAGGGGGGAGCTGCATCCCTCACTAGCGGAGGATGTCGGAGGGTCTGGCAGCTCCGAGGTCTGAGATCCAGCAGGAAAATCTGAGATTTGCAAGCCTGAGTTCAAGCGCAGGCTGCCGTGGGGTGAGGAGGAGGATGGTTAGGCCGGTGTCCTTTGGGTGTCTCCGATGACAACGCAGATCTAAAAGCTCTGTTTTTGGGGGGTTCTCTCCACAGCGTTTTCTCTTCAGAACAGCCTACGTCAGCCACCTGCTCTTCAAAAGCGTTTCCAGTGAAACCACAAGCGATCGGATCCAGTGCTCCCCAGTTTCAGGACAAAACTGCCCCCAGGTGTCAGCACCAAAGACAGCCCAGGCTGAACCGAAGTGGCCGGCGCTCGGCCAGGAGCCGGGGAGCA